GGGAACTGAGTCTCCACGGCCAACTCACCCCTTGGCCTCCAGGCGCTGAGGGGCAGGAGGTTCCCAGGGGAAGGGCTGTAGGAATCTGCCCACTAGGGACTAGACTGAGACACCAGCTCCCCCCTCCCCAGCCCATTCCCACAGGTCTCCAAACAGCCCTCGGGTGGGACAGACTCTGGGTCCCTGCTGCCCTGGGCTGAATGTGCCCAGTGCCCAGCAGTGACAGGCCCATGTCCCACCCCACAGCCCTGAGGCAGCCAGTCCCCAGGGCGGTGACAGCTCCAGGAGACACTTGAGCTCAGACTGTGCCCTGAATGGGGAATTCCAGAGTCTGCTGGGCCGGGGGAGAGCCGCAGGCTGATGCTGATCAGAGATTTGTGCCCAGCCTGTGACCTTCCCCTCACATCTGGCTGCAGGGCCCTGGGGAGATGTGGTGCCAACATCAGATCCAAGCCTTTTCCCTGCACTGGGCAGTGTGAGGGAAGCGAGAGACACCTACTTGCTCAGGGTGCTGCTGATGTCCTAGAGGGGAGAGAGAGAAAAGAATCTCAGTCGCACTGGTCATACATGCAGGACCCAGGGAAGGGATTTTGCAAAAATGGGGAAGAAAAGCTCTGAGCAAATGGGACTTTGCCATCTCCAATAGCTCTGCACCTGTAACTCTACATGGTAGCAATACACATGCCAAGTTACACCCAGATCTGATGGCTGGACCCCAGCACTTGTGGGAGCCTCTCTTCCCTTTGTTGGGAGCTGGGACGTTTCTCCCTCAGTCTCACCTGCAGGAGTTCATTTGCTGGCTTCTGACACGTCCCCTCCAGCTCACTGATCCGCTCGCTGAGACGGGAAATCTGTGCAGAGAGTTTCCTGACAGTGTCAGTCTGGAGCCTCCCAATCTCCTCGTCCAGCTTCTGCAGCTGGGCCAGCAGGAGTCGCTCTTGTTCTTCCAGGAACTGCCGCAGCTGCTGAAACTCGGCCACAATCTTCTGCCTCTCGGCTTGTGTCTGTTTCTGTGTGAAAACAGGGAAAGGGCTGGTTAGGGACATGGATGGATCTCGGGGCCTTTTCCTGGGGAGCTGAGGCTAGGTCTACACTATTGGCTGCGTCTAGACTGGTAAGTTTTTCCACAAAAGCAGTCGCTTTTGCGGAAAAACTTGCCAGCTGTCTACACTGGCCGCCTGATTTTGCGCAAAAGCACGGACGTTCTACTGTCCAAAATCAGTGCTTCTTGCGCAAATGCTTTGACGTTCCCGTTCGGGCAAAAGCCCTTTTCCGGAAATGTTTTTGCTCAAGAGGGCTAGTGTAGACAGCTAAAAACTGTTTTGCGCAAAAAAGCCCCGATGACGAAAATGGCGATCGGGGCTTTCTTGTGCAAAACCGCGTCTAGATTGGCACGGACGCTTTTCCGCAAAAAGTGCTTTTGCGGAAAAGCGTCCGT